CCCTTCCCCACCCAGCACCCTGTCCCTCTGTTGCCTGCCCCCCAGGGCTGAACTGGACAGGGGGAAGTAATGGTGCTCTGCCAGCTCTGCCCAGAAGCCGTGCTTTGCCCTTTGCCCTTTGCCAGACCCTTCTTGCAATAGATTCAGCAGACTTTCAAAATATGATCATGCATGTTCTGAGGGATCTGCTGGGCTCCCCAGGCGGGGGCCCTCCTCAAGCAGGGTCTGGGTGCTCCTGTGGGCTCTGTTCCCCCACTGCACCCCTGTGGGCTCTGCTGGGCTCAGCTCCTTAGTTTGGAAGGGTGGGGAAATAAATGGTATCTCCCAAATGCCACCTGCCCCGCTCCTCGCTCTAGCCAGAACATGCTCCTCTGTCTCCTTCCGTCCATGCTGTGCTGACCAGGGATAGTTGGTATTTAGCTCAGCGACCCTGGGCACCTGCATTAGTGCCCCACTGAGATGAGTGGGGCAGTTCCCACCTCTCCGAGCCATTGTCTCAGACTCTCTGCAGACTCAGGCAGGCCGCTGCATTGACTCACAGCTTGCTCGCTGAACCCCGAGTCGGGAGTGCAAGGAGGCCGCTTGAAAGGGGCGGCACTTGCTGACTTGCCATCGCCCTACTCCCCTGCCAGCAGTACCCTGAGCTCTCCACCAGGTCCCATACCCCTCTGCACCCTGCGTGGAAAGGTGGCAACACTGTGCCGCTGGCTGCATTCTACGCACTGGCCTGCTCCAGGGTGCAGCCGTTGCCCTAAGAGCCCAGCGTGCTTCTCCTGCCTGTGTCATTGTCATGCTCTGCTCACAAACGTATTTCCTTTGGCAGCTGAGGAAGGAGCTGCAGGGCTAGCGCATGCTGCTGGGTGAGGTAGGGGCCACACTGCCACCGCCCTCTGCATCACAAGAGCAGATGCGTCTCATGCCAGCTTCGCGTCAGCTGTACTCTGAACAGCCTGCCAAGAACAGGGCCCGGGGACAGGCACAGCGGGGGCAGGAGCGGCAGATGCCAGGGCTGGGAGTGGCCCACGGCATGGGCACAGTGGGGGCATGCCTTGCCGTAAGTGTAAACGCTGGATCCGTTCTCCATCCAGCAGCCCTGAGCAGGGGATGATATTTGAAGCCTGAGGTCAAGGAGCTGCTGGCAGGCTGAGTGGCACCAGCTGGGACCCTGGGGGAATGCAGCCTAGGGGACTGTGCAGACGGTCTCCGGGCAGTGTGAGAAGGGTCTGGGCTCTGCCAGTTTGTTGGGTACTCCCCTTCCCTGGCCCAGGAGGGTGAAGTGCCAGCTGGGACTACAGCACCCTCTTTATTTTGGGGAGAGGGGACAGAGGCAGCCAGGGGGACCAGACCTGTAGCCTCGGGCCAGGCTCAAAGCCACTGAACCACAGCACAGATCTAGAGAGAGCCAGGGCCAGGCATGCCAGGAGGGGGCTGGGCTTTTGCGAGCCAGGACTCAGGTGGCAGCCATGACTTGCCTCACTCAGTCTCCTCTGGGGAGTGCCCCTTCTTCCCATCAGAGCCAACTTCCCCTCTCCTGCTCCACCTTCAGGAGCCAGGGCCCAGCCACTCCCCTGCCAGGCCCTTCCCAGCCACCCAGAATTGCCCTAATGCGGCCTGTGTGCTCAGCCGGGACATGGGGCAGGTTAGTCTGGGATGGGAGTGGCTCTTTCTGAGATGACCATTGCTGGGATGTGGGGTGAAACTCCCCTCAGCCTGAGGTGCTGATGTGCCGGGGCCCTCTCCCCAGGGCAGAGCCAGGCAGGCAGGCTCCTTCCCCTCCCCCTGCCCGTGTTTACTGAATGCCTCCGGAGAGCGGAGCAATGAGCCAGCATGGCGCTGGACATGTGTTTCCATTTATCCCAAACAGCCATGACTCACCGCTGGGCTGGGGGGAGCTTCCTCCAGCGCCTCAGCGGAACATTCCCTGCAGGGGCCTGCTGCCCCCCGAAACCATCCAAGAGCAGGGGAGCCCTATCCCGGCCCACTCTGGACCCCAGAGCCACCCGGCTCCCAGCTCCAACAGTGCTGTGGGGCCCCCAGCGGCTCCTCTCTCGCCGCTGGCTTAACTAAGTCAGCTCTGGCTTTGTCTCGGCTTCTCTCTCTCTGGGCCACCCCCAGCCTAGCTTTCTCTCGGTGGGCCTGGCCCATGCCTCCCACCCCACCACCTTGGGGGCCCTTCTCTTCCTCCTGCTGTAGCACCTGGGTTGGCCAATCCCTCTGTTGTCACTCCCACCCCATCCCACATCCCAGGTACCACCTCGGTTTCCCTGCTGAGCTCCTTAGCCACACCTGTCTCCTGCAGCTGTCACAGGGCCTTGGCCTCCAGCATTGCTGTGATTGACAATAAGGCAGCACCTCAGGCTCTGGTGCGGACCGGGGTGCCACCCTGCTATGTGTGCTCCAAACCCCCTCACCCTCATTCCAAGAAAGCCCCATGGCCATTCCAGAGCCAAGTTCCCAACTGTCCTCCCCCATATGGCCCCACTGGTCTTGAGGGCTCGGCCCCTCTCTAGAGCCATGCCCCGTCCTTCCGTGATGCTCACTGCCCCCTTCAGTATCAGAGGCCAGTGCTGCTGTTGAGGGGGACTGTGATGGGGCCTTCACCCCACACCGGTCCTGAAGGGGTTAAGGTGGCTAGATGGGCCAATTAACCACATAGGCTGCTCCTTGAAGGAGCCAGGGCTCAATAATGCTTAATTAGGGCTGAAGCTCCCCTGGACAGGGCTTGTGAAAAGCTGAGAACAGAAGGGCAGGTGCAGGGGGCAATAGGCTGCCCCCTGACCAGAGAGAGGGGTGTTAGCAATTACAGGCTCTGGTAAGAAGCCCAAGGGTGGAGTAGCCACAGGGCGGAGGAAGCTCGGCCAGGCAGAAAACGCAGAGGACGGAGGGGGGAAAGTAGGCTGGAACCCAGGGAAGTAGCAACCAGGTCTGGGACTGAGTAGCCCACAGCTGCGGAGCATGGGGTCCCTGGGCAGAGAACAGCTTGGAATGGCAGAGAGATGCTGATGGACCCTGAAAGGGGAGGACTACAGAGACCTGGCTAGAGGGCTGAATGAGAGTCCTGGAGGGGAGAGAGAGAGCTGGAGGGCAGCATGAGACCCTGGTGAGCTAATCCCAGGATGAGCCATGAGGAGGCGTGGTGGGGGTGACTCATGAATCCCGTTACAGGGACCCAGTGGGGAGGGCTTCCTGTGCATCCCACCGCCCAGGGGACAGCGCTGGCAAAGCGGGGAGAAAGAGGAAAGGTGCAGCTCACTAAACGTGATGCTGATTCCAGCTCCGCCCTGTGCTAGCTCTCAGGCACGCTGATATTTAGTACCCGGGCATGAGCACCTGGCTAGAACAGACTTCTCCTTGTTGAAAACCCACATCTCTGGGTGTTTTAAGTTATTGGGACTCCAGAGAACGCTTGAAAATCGTGTGCCCGGCAGTGAAACAGCAGGAGTGCTGGGATATAATGCATTGTCTTTGGGTTTCAGAGTTAATACCCCACTGAGGTGAATGGGGCAATTCATCCTCCTCCAAACGATTGTCTCAGACTGCCAGCAGACTCAGGTAGGTGTTCGCCCAATGCTCACATGTGGGCTGCATCTTTGTTGTTTCCTGCCATCCAGGAGAACGTGGCCTTTTCTCCAATGCATGCTGAGATGGGAGCCCAGTGCCATGGCAAGGAGCGGGGTCGTGGCTGCTTGTTCGTGATGTTGAGCTGGAGTTCTGAGCAGACTGTCCCTGCGGTGTAGCGGGCAGCACTGAGTCCCCACAGCCCTGCCAGGTACAGCCACAGAGCTGTGTGTCCTCCCCATTCTCACGCCGAGGCAAGAACGGCTGAAGAGCCTGAGCGTGGAGTGACCAGGAAAGCGGTGTCCGCTGCATGTGGCTGTCGGTGTGATCACAAAGCCTGCCTCCTCCAGTGCTGAAATGGAGGCTTGTGGGGAGCCAGGCCCAGGCTGTGTCCGGGGGGCGGGGGCTGCGCTGAGGGCTGCAGGGCCCAGAGAGAAGATCTGAGCTTTGTGTGCTCAGTAAAGGACGAGGGTCTGGAAAGTGGCACGTTGGTGGGGGTGAGCAGAGCTCGGTGCCAGGCTGTGGTGCTCAGGGGACCAGAGATGGGGAAGGGGGGGGCAAGAGCTGGGAAGAGACCAGCAGGAGAAACCAGGAAATGCTTGGGCACAGACATAATCCCAGCCCTCGGAGGAAATGTCCCGCTCCGCTCAGCACTGGCCAGGTGCCAGCTCCACGTGAGGCTGTGTCTGGGCTGGTGCTGATGTTGCAGCCGTGGGCCCTTGGCTCCTGAGCGCAGGGGAATGTGATGGCCAGAACCCTGCCCCTTCCCCCAGCGCCCACATTTCTGGGGAAGCAAAGAACCCCCTGGCCATGATCCTCTTCCTAAAATACCGGCCAAGACGGCATGCCATGGCCCTGTGCTGCCAGGGCGGGGCACGCCCCCAGTGCGCTGGGGAGGCACCTGTCGCAGCGATGGTGAGGTTACTCCTGCCAGCAGCGGGGGGCTCTCTGGAAGGCTCTGCCCCCCGGGGTGGAGCGGAGCCCCACAGGAGGGGGCACCCTGCAGCTGTGGCCTTGCTCTCATGGCCAGTGCTGGGAAAGGCGCTTGGCTGTGCCCCCTCCCCCCGCCTTGGGCACCCGGCTGACTGTGGCCCAGGCCTGGCCATTGCTGGGCGCTGGCAGGGCCAGGGGCCGGGGCTGACCCAGGGGCCGGTTCCGCGGGGGACGACCCTCCCCCAGCCCCCAGCAGAGCTGACTCCCCAGGTGGGGCGGGGCAGAGGGGCCCGGAACTTGCCCCAGCTCGGCGGGGCCCTGCCCCTCCCAGGGGAGCGGCGCTGCCGCAGGGGGCCGGGGCCGGGGCCGGGGCCGGCCGGCCGCGGACACACGCCGCAGGGCCGGCGGAAGGAAGGGGCGAGAGCGAGCGGCGGAGCGCAGCGGCCTGGCCCGGTGCCACGGGGCGGAGCAGCCGCCAGCCCCCAGCGCGTTAAAAGCCGCTGTCGCCGAGCGGCGCCGCAAACCCTCGGCGCAAGGGAGGCGGCCGCGGCGGCGTCTGCATCTGCTGCCCGCGGGGAAGGCGGCGCTCCAGGCCCGGCGGAGCCGCACTCGGGCGGGAGCCTGGCGGCAGGGGCGCGGCGGGCGGGCAGCTCGCGCCTGGCTGGGTGCGGGGGCCCCCCCGGGCGCTCCGAGACCCGCAAGATGCGCGCGCCCGTGCCCAGCCTGCTGGCCTGGCTGGCGCTGCTGCTGCTGGGGAGGGCGGCGCGCCCGGCCGACGCCTGCAGCTGCTCCCCGGTGCACCCGCAGCAGGCCTTCTGCAACGCCGACCTAGGTAAGGGGCGCCCGCGGCGCCGCCTCCCGCCCCAGGGCCCGGCCCGGGCTGCCTGCGGCGGCCGAGGGGCGCCGGGCCCCGCAAGCGGCCCCGCGGGCGCTGCCCAGGAAGGTTGGTGGGGCTGGGGGGCTGCGACGTGCGGCCGCGGGGGCTGGAGCCCGGGCTGCTGGGGGCCGCGCTGGGTTGCGGCAGGGCGGGATTCACCTTTTTGCGGCCCCCGTGGAGGCAGCGGAGCCTGGCGCGGGGCGGTGGGTCCCCGGAGCAAGGGGGCAGCCGCGGGCAGTGGGGCCTGGCGCGGCAGGGGTGGCCCAGCGCAGCGCGAGGGCACTCGCTACAAACCGGCAGCTGCCAGACAGCGTGCCCCTTCCGCTGGGGGGGCCATGCCGCACCACACAGCCCCCAACATCTTCCCTATGGCCAGAGACCCCCAAGCCCCCCCACAAATGCACAGCGCCCTGCACCACCCCTGCCCAGCCCCCCCCCCCCAGAACCCGCACTCCCTAGTGCCCCAACCCACACATCTTCCCTGCCCCATCACAGCCCAGCACCCCCCCCCCCCGCCGCAAGAAACCCTCTCCCCCATGCCCTGCCTCCCGGCTGTCCTCCCGGCCCCGGTACGATCAGCCAGGCCAGGGCCTGCCCCGGCCGGGGTCCCCCAAGACGCACTTCCCCTGGAGGAGCCCAGCCAAGCTCCCCACACTGTTTTTCCCTCCCCCCCGCCACTGACACTGGCCAGGCTTCTGCACCAGTCCCAGGCGGCTTGGGTCCGGGGAGACAGGTGGGGCCCCACCAGTGGTGGGAAGCCGAGACTGCCCGGAGCCGGAGGTGCACTGGGGTCCGGCCAGGGGGCAGAGAGGAGCAGGGGGGTGGGGCCGAGGAGGCCGCAGGCAGGCAGGTCAAGAGGAGCAAGTGGTGGGTGGGGGGAGCCAGCGGGATCTTGGGGTGCAGTGCAAGTGGAGCAGGCCGGGGCCCCTTCTGAGCATGGGCCCGGTTCCATGGAGCCATTGTAAACCTGGGACTGTTATCCTCGGGGAGGCGGGGGGGTATCTATGAACTCTGCTGCCCCCTGGCTCCGAACTGCCGGGCAAGGGTGCCCGAGACACCGGACGGAGTGTGGGAGGCTGTGATCGCTGGGCCGTGACCTGCAGGCCGGGCCCGGGAACTCGTTTGTATGCACTTAGCCGTATAAACCCCCTCGGGGCAGGCTGCGGGGGAAGTAGTAGGAGGATGGGTAGTACAGGATGAGTTTAAGTGTGTCTGGAATAGGCGCCCGCCCCCCACTTTCCAGCCCTACTGGGTTCATTGGGATCTATTTCTGGGTCCAAGCTTAGGCAGAGCCCTGCGCCCGCGTCTGGTAGCTGCACCCACGGGTAGCACTTTCACCGCATCCAGTCAGCAGAGTGGAGCTGGGAAGCTGTTACCTGCCGAGAGCTGAGTTCAAGGGCTTGCAGCTTCCCTGGTAGCTGCTGGGGAGCTGGCCCATCCCAGCACAGTGAGCAAACAGAAGCCCTGGCTGCTCCCACCCCAGTTAAAACCCATGAGAGATTAGTCTGCCGTGAACAGAGCCATTTCCATGGAGTCCTTGGCAAGTCACTCCCAGTCCTGGACCTGGAGGCGTTTGTGATGGAACAAGGCACTTGCAACCCCCACCCTGCCGGGGAGCCTGGAACTGGATAGGGTGATGCTGCCTGGGAGGGGCATGGCAGGACTCTCAGGGACTGCCCTGATTCAACACATCTCCCCAGCAGCCTCAAGCTCCCATGGCGCCCTCACCAGGGCAGGAGCCTATCTCTGCCCAGCAAGCGTGGAGCCCACCTGTGCACATGAGAGCTGGACTGGGCCTGCTCCATCACAGCCAGCTGGCTCTGGCGAGAGACAGGAACAGGAGCCTGCTGTCCCCCTCGTGTGCCATCTGCCTCTGATGCTCGGGCCATTTGGCTTTCAGCTGAGAATCATTTGTGCTTTAGCTGTTGCCATCACCGCCCGCTACCTAGCTAGCGGTCGGTGCCCTGCCCTCACTCCCTGCTCCCTCAAGCCCGTGGGACCGGACACACACGGCTTAAAGTGGGGCCTCCCGTCTTATCTTCTCTTTCACCACCTTGCAGTTATCAAATTTATTGCACGTTTTATGGTTCCCTGCGTCATCCTCCAGGCCTGGCCGAGTTGGCCTGCTGGCGTGTGGGAGGCTGCGTAGATGAAGCTTAAACAGCAAAGCACCCGAGAGTGACGTCTCGTAGCTCTCTCTAGACCCAGCGCCAGTCTCAAACGGAACTTGAGCTTCTCAGGGTTTGTGGCCTCAGGGCTTCTGTCTGTTTAATTTGAAGTGGTGCTGGGTGGGAGAGTGTGTGTCAGTCTGTGCTGCCAGGAGTGTGTCTGTCTGGTAGGGTGGGACTTCCCTGGGCCATTCTCGCTCTCTGGGGTTCTGAATCAGGTAGCAGAGATGGGATGAAGATCCTCCTCGAGAAGTCTGAGCTTTGTTCCCTGCATCCCTGCACACCCCTCCCCCAGGCTCAGCCTGGGCACTGGGCCTGTGGAGGGCGAGTACCAGGCACAAGTGAAGCTGTCTGCTCTGGTGGGTTGGGCTCACTGCAGCTGAGCCCCTAATGACAAAACCTAGCATTGCACGTTGCCATTTTGATTTACTCAAGCTCGCTGGGGACACCCTGGGCAAGGCGAGAGCTTTGTTAGTCCTGTTGCGGACTGGACACTGTTCCCAAAGGGTCCCTGGCACTCTACAACAGGCTGGGAATGCTGAGCAGAGAGCCGGGCCCGGCCTGGGGAGTGGGCCATGTTGGGCTGGGTCACCTTCTGTCGGTTCCTTACTTCCAGGCATTTCCTTTCCTCTATCCCAGTTTTATTCGGCTTGGATGCTGCTGAAAGGGAGGTCTTGGCAGGGCTGGGATCCGGATTCCTCTTTCTATGAATAATACCCTTATTGCATTTAACGTATAAAACAAACTGAGCCCAAGCCCGCTGCCTGCCGCACTCAGGGGCAGCGCCATGCCGCAGCACCCAGGCTTGGCTGGAGGGAGGCATTCTGAAATACTTTGGCAGCTCCGCTTGGCTGACAGCCCAGCCCCCTTCCATCACTGCACACCCTGCGCTGCCCCAGATTCCCCCTTGCTCCTGAGTGCCCAGTGCCCCGGGTGGCCTCCCTGCTTTGCAGGTCTCACCCCTGCCTGTCCCTCAGAGTCTCTCGGGGCCCCGCTGTTTGTTCGGGGGCCTGTGCAAACTGATTTAGGGACAGGAAGATTTTAGACAAAGTGAAGCTGCGTCAATCCAAGCTGCTGGATTCCCCGAGTTTTTCAGCGGGAGCTGGGCTGGGTGCTATAGCTGTAGTTCACAGCACACATCAGGTGGCCCCTGTGTCACTTTCCTGCCCTCATCCTCCCAGGGTCCCCACTCCTCATGCAGGCTCCAGCCTCAGTGGTCCCTCTGGATGGTTCATTGGTGACAGGGCCTTGGGGGAGTGACTAAAGCGGGAAATGCTGCCGGGAATTGGGCTAGGGGGATGGGCACTCACCTGCCCTAGTTGGGATCCTGGCCATGGTTGCACCACCCGTCTGGCTGCGAAGTAAAATCCACCTGTGAGTGAGGAGAGAGAGCTCCCTAGCGAGCAGCCCCCAGCAGGGTAGAGACCTGGCCTGTGGCCCAGTGAACGCTGCCAAGGAAGAGGCAGCTGGTGCCCTTGGCTCTGACCTGTCCTAGCTTCTCTCCCACATGGAGGAGAAACGCTTTGGGGCATTCAGCCCGGCTGCCTTGATTCTGTCTATCTCGGTTGGGGGGAGGGGTGTGTGGAGGGCAGGTGGGGCATGGCTGCAGTACAGGCCCAGGATGTCAGACTTCCAAGGTTTATTCTCTGGCCCATGTTATAGGGGTGTTACCTGCACACTCTAGGGCCCCCCACCTTTGCCTTTCCGTGGGCTCAAGGCGCAACCTGGTTAGTTTAGGCACCCCCACCCTTTCCCAGTTCCTAGGGCTCTGGGCAAAAGGCACCTATCCTTACCCAGTTCCTAGGGCTCAGCCCACTCATACCCAGTTCCTCGGGCTCAGGGCATACTCTTCTGCAGGTTTGCAGGGTCTTTTACTAGTGACAGAGCCTTACACACTCATATTCTTAATCTCTGTTTATTAACAGTCCTCAAAACAGACTGCACACGCAAAGCATACAATGGTCACCACTCCCAGTGAGGCAGACAAACTTTTCCTGGGGGCCAGTCAGGATCAGGTCGTCCGGGGACTCTAGCTTCTGCACAATATGGTTGGCAGGGTGCTGAGGTCTGGCAGCTCTGATCTTGGGCTATGTCCTGGAGTTGGTTCCAAGGAACTTCCTTTTGGACCCTAGTTTATGTAGTTAAAACTTGGGTCCTGCTTAGCTGTATGGTAACCAATCACTGTAAACTAAAGTCCTACAAGACAGTATTTTTCACCAATCCTAGCACATTATGAAACAATTCTTTACCCAATCAGATCCCACCATCTTAGTTGACTTAAATCTTACAAAATTAGTTATGCAACAGACAGAAACAGTTAAAGAGCTGGACAGAGACCCTACAGATGAACAATAGAGAAGTAGGGACCATAAAGGCAAAACAAGAGACGGGGAGATTTCACAATCACAACCGTTGAAGCGGTGCCTTGCCAGACAGAATGCATCAAACAGTGTTTTCGTTCGACGTCCTGCGATCTGTTTATCTGGTGGTGCTGCTGCTAGGACAGGAGCCTCCTTAACAGCCTGATGTGACGCGGTTGTGATGCAATTTAGATGGAATGTGAGGATGTGACTTTCTGCTCCTTAGCTCATGGCTGCTGCTGCTCTAATGGGGCTGTAGAAAGAGACTGGGACTGGACGATCACCGTGGTCCCTCTGGCCTTGGGCTATGTGATGCTGCTTGGGTGTCTCCCTGCACGGGCTGTGCCCGCTGGGAGGGGCGCGATCGCTCAGAGGCCAGGGAGCCAGCTCTGCCTGGGCTGGGCACAGACGCAAATGGGCATGAACA